GCGCCTTCGCACCTCGCCGGCCTCCCCCGGCCCTGGCCCGCGGACCGGCTCCCCCTGCCCCATGCCTCTCACCTGGGCGAGCCGGCCGCCGGCTGCCCTTCTCTGTTCAGCCCCTCGAAGCTTCCCCTCTCCCAGAGCGCCGCCCTCTCGCCCTGCACGGCGTCGTGGCGCAGCCCCACAAGGCTTCTGCACCGTCCCTCCTCGCCAGGTGCTGGCGTCCCTCCTGGAGACGCTGCCCTTGGTGTATTGCAAGGCTCGCTCTTTGCCTTCTTCCTCTGATGGGTTTGTGCCTCAGAAGTGCAAGAAAACTTGCACCTGTGTTGTCCACTTAGTTTCATGAGGTCCCCAGTTGTCTCAGTGCTGCCTTTCGGGACTGTCGATGGGTGTACAGCCTGATGGTTTCTACCAACACACCTCCAGCTCCCTGTATTCATCTCCTCCTGCCTGTTATTGGGATGAACCTCCTTCACTTCTCTACCTCACCTTTCCTTCCCCTTTCTCCACTACTGTGCCTTCCTCTTTGCCGCCTCTTCCTCACGACCCTCGAGATTTAAGCTGTCCCCTTCAGCTCATCCTGCACATGACGAAACTATCCTGTTTCTTTCCTGCTAGGCCTGTGGTTTTCCCTCCTTTCTTGACCTTTCCTTATGAGCTCTGTCAACAGCAAACTAACTACACCAGAGGTGACTTGCTCTCAAAGACAAAAGAAAAGAAAGTTCTTTCTGCTGGTTCTCTGCACCAAACCAGACTTCCTCTCTTTGGGAAGGGGGACAGCATGAGAGAGGATGTGTAGCCAGCAGTACTGCATCCTCCTTCATGTCTCAGCAGTGGCACACAAAATGACCCAACTGTGTAACATTCTTTGATGCCTGTCAGCTCACTGCTAGCTGTAAAGGGAAAAGAGCTGCCTTGGAGTTACTGTTTGCCCTGCTGCAGTCTCTCCCATCCCTCCTCCCCCTTTTCAGCTGGCAGAAAGTTGAAGATGGCAGAGATGCATTTTCTTCTCCATTTGGGGATGGAACAGATTCCCCTCCCCCTCCTGTTATCCCTGCTGCAATTACACCCTTGGTAATGGCTGATGCGCAGTTTGGTTTTACCACTGACAGAACGGTTGGCTACACTGTATGGTGTGTCATTATTTCTCTCTGATCATGACTTTAAAAAAATTACCAGACCATGGGTAAGTTGGATGGCATTCCAGGGCACAGGCTGGAAGACCGTGCCAAGTGCCAGGTTTAAGCTCTATAAAGAACTGGAAGTGAAAACAGAAAGAGCATCGCTGTGTGTAAGGTGTAAATAAAAAAAGGCTGTGTATGGTTATTTGACTGCTGAAATAACACTGTGCTGACTTGTGTTCTCTCAGGTAATGTTATGACATGTAGTTATAAATAGATAAACCAGTTAAGAGCAAGGCACCTTCAGGTCACCTGGTGCCTCACATCTCTATGCTGAGCTAGACATGATGTTTTTGCCACAAGGCCCAGAGGATGTGCAAGTCTCAAGGTACCTCATTCCTGCAATCCACCAAAGAATTTGGTAATTACACTTAGCTTCTTTCTGTTCCTCCCCTCCCCCTGGCTCTCTATAGTTTGAGTCTTTACTTGCAAACCTGGGAATGGAATTCCTTAAAAAAGAAATAATTAAAAGAAACGGTTCTGGTGTATCAAGAAATATAAATGAAAAATGTTGTAAGTAGTGCGAGTGTGTGTTTTCATTAATCCATCTGGCAGTGAGTAGTAAAAAAAATAAAATTGCTTAGCAACCAGTATTGAGTGAGTGAGCCAAAAACCAAGTGAAACGTGCCGCTGATAACCACTTCATTTCTGAGCTGCTGGGTTTACTCTTCTGTTTGCTCAGAAAGCACAAACCAAGCTGCCTGGGTTTGAGAACTCTCTAGTCTGAGGAAAAAGCTACTAGAAAATGTGTTTGGCCACTTTTGCTCATACTTGATAATGCCGTACAGCTCAGGCTTTCCTTTTGAAACTGTTTATGAGGTGCAGTGTTCTTGCCTTTATTTTTTTGTCTCTGTGTGTGGGGAAGGGGGCCGAAAACATCCTGTCCCTAAGCGGACCAGGTTTCCATTTGCGATCTCGTTGCTGGTGTCACTGCCGCTGTGCCACAGAGGGTACCGGGTCGCCCTTGGTGTCCCAGTGCCCTGCAGGCGGAGGGGCCCGACCGCCTGCCCGGGAGCCCGGGGCGCTGTCCGCCGCCCCCGGTGCTGAAGCCGCTCCGCCGGGGGTGGAGGACGCGTGTCCCGCCTTGCCTTGTTCTCCTGGTCTGTCCGTGGGCTGGCAGCGCACGTGTGTGCACAGGGATGTGTGTATCTCTTTGCCTGTGCAGGGGGAAGGTGGTAGGAAGGAAGTAAAGCTGTTTCTTCAACCCACGGATGCAGTCGAAGCTAAAGTGGTGCTCGGGGCGCAGGAAAGAGCCTCTTCCTTGTGTGCTTTTTGCTTGCTTTCCGTTTAGTGCATGCAGTATCTGCTCTTGCTGTTCAACCACTGCTTACAGAGCTATTTTTTCTACAGCTGTTATGAGTCAAGCTGCATTCCCCAGGCATTGTCTTCTGTCAGGACATGGTCAAAGTTTGGCTGCAGCATGCAGCTGCTGCTTTGCTGTGTTGGAACTTCAAATCCACTTTTATTAATGAACCATAAACAGATACAGTGAATACTGCTCTTCTCCACCCTTAATTGCAACCACTAGTTAAGAACTATCAGGTTTTCATCTCCTTCAGCTCTAAGTTATAATTATACCATTACTGCTGTTATCTGTATTGTTGAACAACTGAGATTGCATACACAGAGTCAATTATACAGCTTGGTTATAGCGTGTATTTGGTCTGTGTCTTTAAAAAACACAATTTGCAAGTGATTAACAGTGCAGCTTCTACCTCCCCTTGTCTTTTAATCATATTAACAGCTCTGCTTTGTTTGATTTTCCCAAACATACCAGTTTATTATGTTTGTTTCTAAATATTGATCAATTAACTCACAATTATTACCTAGCATGAGTTGACAAATGTGGTTCGATTAGTTGTGCCTGGTATGGCTTTTTTGTCTGGTGTTCCCAAACTGATTAAAGTACCATGTTGTTTTCCAAACCCAGGGTTATTCTCTCTATTATTATACATATGCAAATCCTATTAATCTGAGTTATGTGCTCATATCAAGAGGATAATACTTCCCAAAGGATTAAAATTACCTCTTCTGCCAAAATTAATGTAGCTACGTAACAGTGTAAAGCTATAGGCAGCTATAAATTCTTTTTCCATATTTGATACTAAATCAG